TGATAATCTTTTCCAAGATCTTCCCCGGGATAGAGGTCAGGCTGATGGGCCTGACCTCTATCTTGCCAGATCCACTTTCCTCCCTTTCTTGAAGATAAATACCACTTCGGCTTCCTTCCAGTGCTTGGGCACTTCACCAGAACACCAGGAGTTCTCAAAGATCCTTGCCAGGGGCTGAGCTATGATACTTGCCAGCTCCTTGAGTACCCTCGGGTGTAAACCATCAGGGCCAGCTAACTTAAAGGAATCCAGCCTCTCAAGATGTTCCTTCACAAGGTCAGCTTCAAAGGAGGGTAAGGAATCTCCCTCACCCGGGCCTCCCTGTCCCGTAGTGGGCAGGGGCGTCCCATGGGACTGGTGAAAAACTGACACAAAATACCTATTTAGCAAGTTTGCTTTTTCCTGGGCGTTGGTTGTCAGTTGTCCCATCTGGTTTAGCAGGGGTCCAACGTTGCCCTTGCTTTTCCTCCAGCCCCTCACATATCTAAAAAAGGACTATTTATTGTTCTTGATATTTGTAGCTAGCTGGAGTTCCATCGCAGCCTTGGCTTTTGTTATAATTATTCCTGCAGAAGCCAAGCAGAAATAGTGAAGGAATGACATATATAGCCTATTAAATATATAGTGACCCAATCCCCAAGTCCTGACAAGCAGCTCATGCACACAACATTTAACACATTTGGAGAGAATGCTGATTATAATTTTGGGTATTGTTGCTATACAGAAAGTAGAATGTATAAAGAGTATTAAGAATCAAATATGCCTGGCATTTGGGACTAGATAGACCTTAATAGTAGGACTGTGCAAAACAGTGCTGTTCCACTTCGAATTCTATTTCGTTTAGTTTCGAAAGCACTGTTCCACTTCGTTTTGTTGGAACTGTTTTGCTGTTTCGACACTGTTTTGATGTTTTGCCCATAGGCTATAATGGGGAATCATGAAAATGCCTAAAACTTTGTTGTTTCTTGCCTGATTCAGATGAAACTTGCAGGGACTTTATGCCCTTCTGTGGGCATGAAGCCTGCCAAGATTCAAGAAGATAGGTGCATAGGTTTCTGGGAAACTGCACTTCAAGATGTTGACAAACAAAACTCCTCTCACTTGCCGGCAGCAGCAGCCTCCTATCATCTGGCCCACAGATCTGGGGGCCCACACCCCTGGGAGGGCTACAAGGCTGTGCCGGACTCCTTCCGGGAATGCGGGCCTCTGATCTGCCTGCTAGATGACAGGAGGCTTGTTCTGCTGCCTGGGGCCAGTGGCAGCACTAATCTTCCCGGTGCTGGGTGCAGGCTGCACCCAGCGCCGGTCCCAGGTAGCAGCAGCAGCTTCCTGTGATCTGGCGCAGCCTGTGCCAAGTGCCAGGAAGATTGGAGCTGCTACTGGCCCCAGCTGGCAGCGACAGCATGCTGTCATCCGACACGCGGATCTGGGGGCTTGCACCCCCAGGAGGGCTGGGAGCTGTACCAGAATCCTCCTGGAAGCGCAGCCCCCAGATCTGTGCCAGATGACAGGAGGCTGCTGAAGCCAAGTAAGCCCGGCTTCGAAACTTGAAAGGTTTCAAAACTTTCAAAACATTTAGAGTGCCCTTGTTTCGTTTCAAAGCTGTTTCAAAGGCTTTTGGTTCATTTCAATTTCACTGTTTCGAGCTCGAAATGCATCAAAACAGCTTCAAAATGAAATACCCAGTGAAATTTTGCACAGCCCTGTGGTGCTATGTCACTGTAGCAGCGTGCTACGGCAATGTACTGTCTGTGGGCAAAAACCATGATGCTGCAGCTATGTCGCCGTAGCAACACATTCCCTCATTATAGCACATCAGTATGGCAATGTAGCGCCTAAAAATGACCGTGTGCACGGCACAGTATGGGCTGTTACTGTGCCATCTTTTAGTACTTCCAAAAGGAAGTACTAAATGATGGTACTGTAACAATGGCACCATAGTGGCGCATGTAGGTGCCCCCTGTATGTCTCAAAATTCCTTAGTCTTAAAGGTAAAACAGTTGGGCAGAGTGACTAAGAATGCTAGTTGTGGATCAAGATAGCACTGTAGAAGCAAAATAAAACAGACTTCCTGTCCCAAGGAACTTCCAGCCCGATTATAAACAAGCGACAACAGATGGGTTGAGGAATAAAGAAAAAGGCAACAAAACACCGTTTAATTTGATAGGAAGTGGTTTCTACATATCATAGAAAATTAGTTTTGGAAGGGACCTTGGGAGGTCATCTGGTCCAAACCCCTGCTCAGAGCAGGATCATCCCCAACTATGTCATCCCAGCCAAGGCTTTGTCTATCTGGGTCTTCAAAATCTTCAAGGATGGACATTCCACAGCCTCTCTGGGTAACCTGTTCCAGTGCTTCACAGTGTTCACAGTCCTTCCTGTGAGAGTTTTTCCTAGTATCTAACCTAAACTTCCCTTGCTGCAACTTGACCATTGCTCCTTGTTCTGTCACCTTCCACCACTGAGAACAGTTTAGCTCCATCCTTTTTTGAACCCTGCTTCAGGTAGCTACAGGCTGCTATTTCTCAGTCTTCTCTTCTCCTAAATAAGCCCAATTCCCTCAGCCTCTCCTCAAAAGTCACGTGCCCTGGCCCACTAACTATTTTCATTGCCCTCTGCAGGACTGTCTCCAATTTGTCCACATCCTTTCTGTAGTGAGGAGGCGCAAAACCAGACACAGTACTCCAGATTTGGTTTCACCGATGCCAGATAGAGGGGAATAATCATTTCTCTTGATTGGCTGGCAACACTCCTACAAATGCAGCCCAGTATGCATTAGCCTTCTTGGCAACAAGGGTGCACTGTTGGCTTATATTCAGCTTATTATCCACTGTAACCCCCATGTCCTTTCCTGCAGAGCTTCTGCTTAGCCAGTCAGTCCCCATTCTGTACAGTTCCCTGGGACTGTTCCATCCTGAGTGCAGGACTTTGCACATGTCTTTATTGAATCTCATGAGATTTCTTTTGGTCCAGTCCTCCAATATATCTAAGTCTCTCTGAATCCTAGCTCTGTCCTCTAGCATATCTGCTACAAGTTTGGTGTCATTTGCAGACTTGCTGAGGGTGCTCTCTGTCCCATCTTCCAGATCGTTGATGAAGATATTGAACAAAACTGGCCCCAAGACCAGCCTGTGGGGCACTCCACTTGGTACTGGCAGAAAGCTAGACATTGAGCTATTGATAGACTATCTAAGCTAGCTTACTAAGCTAGGCTTGCTGAGCCTGGCGATTCAACTAGTTTCCTATCCACCTTACAGTCCATTCATCGAACTTGTAATTCCTTAGCTTGTTTGCCATAATATTGTGGGAAACTATTCAAAGCCTTGTTAAAGTCAAGATATATCATGTCCGCTGCTTTCCTGGTGTCCATACAGCTAGTCATCTCATCATAGAAAGCAATCAAGTTGGTCAGGCATGGCTTGCCCTTGGTGAATTCATGCTGACTGTTCCTAATCACCTTCTCCTCCAAGTTCCTTGACCTGCTCCATTATTTTTTTCCAGGACCTGAGGTGAGGCTGATTGGTCTGTAGTTCTCTAGATCCTCCTTTCCTTTCTTAAAGATGAGCACTCTATTTGCCCTTTTCCATTCACTTGGGACCTCTCCCAGTTGTCATGAGTTTTCAAAGATAATGGCCAGCAGCTCTGCCATCACATCAGCCTACTCCCTTAACACCCTCAGGTGCATCACGTCCAGTCCCATGGACTTGGTACGTGTCCAGCTTTATTCAGTAGTCCCTCACTTGTTCTTTCACCACAGTCAGCTGCTCATCTCCTCCCCAAACTGCTGCCAGGTGCAGTAGTCTGCGAGCTGACCTTGCCTGTGAAGACTGAGGTGCAAAAGGCATCGAGTACTTCAGACTTTTCTGCATCATCTGTCTCTAGGTTGCCTCCCCTATTCAGTAATGGACCCCCACTTTACCTGATCTTCCTCTTTTTACCCTTCTTGTTACTCTTCATGTCCCTTGCTAGCTGCAACTCCAATTGTGCTTTGGTCTATCTGATTTCATCCCTGCATGTTTGAGCAATACTTCTATACTTGTCCCTAGTCACTTGTCCAAGTTTCCACTTCTTATAAGTAAGCTTCCTTTCTGCGTTTTAGCTCGCTGAAGAGTTTCCTGCTAAGCTAAGCCTAACAACTATTAGTATCTGTTAGTATATCAGGAGCCTAACAACTATTAAGTATTTAGCAGCTATTATGGCAAATTAGACTTTGAAAGAGGCTAATGGGGAGAGAGCTCCTTGTAAGCACGAAGGCCATCATAAAATAAAGCACACAGGTGCTATTTGAAAACTGATCAGATGGGAAATGAAGACTGTCATTGTAGGCTATTGGTGGGAGGTAGATCTTTGATTACTGAATGAGAGATGGGGAGAGGATAAGCTGTGAAGGGCTGTGAAAGTGTGAAGACAAGTGATTTTATATTTGTGATAGAGAAGCTAGAGCCAGTGGAGCATGGGGTGATATGGTCCAAGTGATGCACTAAAGTATGTTATCATTTCAGCAACATTCTGGGTAGATAAGTGGAGCAGGATGTTCTACAATAATTGTGATGCAAGATAGGGACATGGTTGACTATTTTAATTGTGAGGATTTAGATGAAAGGCTTTATTTTAGACATGTTATGCATAAAGAATCTCCAGTGTAAGATGGGAGACAGCCTATGGGCCTGAATAGCCAGCAGTATGGTACTTCAGGAATTTGAGTGCATTTTTTTCTATCCTTTTTCCTATTAAGGAACCTCATTAATCACATTTTTCATCTATTTGTTCTATACAACAAATAATTATATTTTAATTTATTTTAAGCCCTCAGTTTAAAGCACTTCATTATTTTCTAAAATACTGATATTTAGTATACAGTTAAAGATCTTTCTCACTACGGAGATTTTGCTTTTGTATTATTGAGACTGATCGATTTCTCTGTATTTTTGCAACACTTTTTACTGCATTGATCTCATTTACACAGTTGTCACTAAGTGTGACTAACTTTTTTTCTCTAGATCTACAGCATGACACTTAGATTATCTGCCTTATTTGAAAATCACATGAAGAACATTATCGCTGAATACAAGTCTGCAATGCAGCATCAGAAGAGAAAACGGCCACGATACCGAAAACGACTAAGAAGCAGTAGTAGTTCACCATCTAGCAGCAGAGCATCCAGGTAACTTAATGAAAGCAAGGTTCACTGTCTACTGATTTCAGAAATCTTTATTTTACTGGAAAATAGTCCTAACAAGTCAATAACATATATAGACCAATTTGTACTGCAGTCTCTTGTGTAGGTGGAAAACCTTGAATTCAAATTCCACGCTAGCATTTATTTTGTTTTTGTTTTCTGTTTTTCATTATTGTCAGGAGTACTATACAGTCAGAAGCACCATCTCTAGACAAGATGCAAAATCACCATCTTTTCTGTCTGCATGTGATGGCTGTTGACACTGGGTTGCAAATTCCCTTATATTTTGAAACATGAAAGTCAAGCCTTGTCATGATCAATATTTCCTTGTTACTTTTTATGTAATTAGGTTTCAGATTTTAAGATGCACATAGATCCATAGGCTTGAAGGTAACAAGGGGCCATTAGATCATCTGACGTTTTATTTAACAGAGGCTATGGGATTTCACCCAGTTAGCTATTTGTCTAGCCCAAGAACTTGAGTATGTGACTAAAGCAAATCTGTCAGAAACTCTTCTAGTGTTCACCGTTGTATGTTGTCTACTGTTGACTGAGTGCAGTGGATGATCTTGTCTGCATAATCAGTGTGCTGTCAGCATCTGTAATGCTCATTGCAAGCAATACCTTCAGTTTAAAGTTGGATGAAACCATGTTAAGTAGCAAAGCAAATTGAACATTCCTTTTAAGAAGCACTAGGATAAAACTTGTTCTTGAAAAGTTGTATTCCCTTGAGTTCAATCATGTTTTTACTTTACTTTGCTACTACAATTTGATAGAGAATCAAGACTACCTGTGTTGCAGATTTAAATCTTACTCCTACCACTGCAAATTAGGACAGTCATTGTTAAAAAACATTTTTTGGTTAACAATTTTAACTCTGTGGGGATGTTTCATGTGTTCAGCCCTAAAGGGAAGCAGAAACAAATGAAGATGCAGCCTAAAACCAACCAGAATACCTCACTGCCTTTGACTAGGACTAGTTCATCAGTTTCATCTCATGGTAAGTATGATAATAATTTTTTAAAAAGTTAACATATGGCAGCACCCAAGGAAAAGCACAAGTGCCTCCTTGTAATTGCCAAGTGATGAAAAGACTGAGACACTTAGGGTGTCTGTACACGTGCAGGGAGACTGTTCTGGCACTCTGCAATTACAGTGTGTTGGAGCAGACTCGATTTTTTTTTTAATCAAGTCTACTAGAGCATGCTAGTTAGTGCACTACATTCAGCCTCTGCATCTCGTACATCATCGTCCCCTTGCTTCAAAATGGTGGCAGGGGCGCTTTATTTAAAGCTCGTTCAAGCTGTAGTTAAAGTCTCTCTGCCACCATTTTGAAGCACGGGGGTGCTGATATATGAGACACTATGGATGCTCTTATTAGAGCGGGTCTTTGTGGATGCTCTTATTGGAGCGTTTCTTGGAGCCACTCTAATTAAAGCCCCCCTCCATCCCCAGATCATATGTAAAAACACCCTTAGTGCTGAGCTTAAACAAAAATCTTGTATGTATCTGTCTCAGGCTTGAACCTCACTGCTGTTCAGTCACATAAATGAGGTTTACATAGATTATGCACGAACTAAAGATGTGGACACACATAACAATCAAACTGTTCCTGAATATCAGTGTTTGGGAACAGGTCTATAATTTAGGGAAGTGTTGTGGCTCTGACACTAGGGGTATGAGTGAGCACCCAGCAGGCCTCAGACTGGACAAGTGGAGTGAAGGGAGTGCTTGCACCCATGTTTTGCAAGTCCCAGCAGGTGGGTGATCTAGGGACCATGACACTTTCCCTTGTTTCCTAAGCGTGAGTTCAGTAAGCTTCAGTAGTCTGCAAAAGACCAGTTTGTAGTGTGCTTGCCTGACTTGGATGGGGGAGGGGCAAAGTGCTTGGGCCCCATGCATTTTGGTTCCAAGGTGCTGGGGGTGTATGATGGGGCCATGGTTGAGTATGGACTGAGGTCAGAGCTGGTTGTTAGAAAAATATCTTTTATTGAACAAACCGTGAAAGGGTGCTCAGTGATCAAAAGTAACAAAAAAGGGTGCTTGTACATGTGACAAGGGTTTAGTGCCCTAAATTGAAACTGGGTTTTTAATTGTGATGGTTAAAAACCCACTGTTTCAGTTTAGGGGCTTCCGTGTTACAGTGAGGGGCCAGATCCTTTTTTTTTTTTCTTTCACAGAGCCTGCCCACATCTCTTGCAGTCAGGGGCTGAGCTGCTGGCAGGCTGAGTAGCCTTTGAGCTGCAGGGGGCCCCAGTCATTCCTTCCATGGTGGTGGCATCCCCTGGGGCTGCCCAGGTAGGCTGCTAGCAGGCGGGTGCATCCTCTGAGCTGGGGCAGAACCTGCACACTAGCAGCCTACCTGGTTAGCCCCAAAGAGCGGCACCACTGTGGAGGGAAGGACCGGGGTCCCCTGCAGCTCAAGGCCCAGAGGCAGCTCACACCCTGGCCACGGCAGAGGCGGGCGAACTCCGGGTTTAAAAAAAAAAAGGGATTAGGCCCCTCACTGCTTTCCCCCCCCCGGGCAGAGTCTGCCCATGCAAGCTGACACAGCACAGGGAGCTAACTTGGGGAAGAGTTGGATCTGACGGGTGCTGCTTGCGAGCTGGGGCAGCACCCGTGTAGCTAGCACCCTGCCTGGGTGGCCCTGGGGGGTGCCACAGCTGCGGAGGGAAGGACCAGGCCCCCTACCACTCAGGAACTGTGTGGTGAAGGGCCTGATCCTTCTCCCCCTCCCTCCCCCCGCAGAGCCTGCCCACCTCTCCTGCAGCTAGGGGGCGAGCTGCTGGTGGGCCCTGAGCTGCAGGGGCCCCAGTTCTTCCCTCCACAGTGTCAATGCCCCCCAGGGCCGCCCAGCTGCATTGATAAAGTGCCGGTGCTGCCCCAGCTCAGAGGCAGCACCTGGCCAGATCCGACTGTTCCCCTAGCCTGAGCAGGGCCAGCACCTGCTCACTAGCAGCCCACCCAGGGGGTGCCACCACTGCGGAAGAAAGAACCAGGGCCCACTGCAGCTCAGGGCTGCTCAGCCCACTGGCAGCTTGCCCCCTGGCCATGGGAGACACAGGCAGGCCCTGCAAAAAATAAAAAAAATAAAAAAAAGGTTGGGCCGCACTCCACTTCTACCTTCAGCCTGCCTCTCCTGTGGCGGGGGGGGGGGCGAGCTGTCAAAGGCTGCAACGTTACAAATAGCTACGTTCCAAACTAAACTACATGTGGATGTGGTTTAGTTTGCAATGTAGCAAACTAATTTAAATCATTAAAAACTCCTGCACTTGTACAGCATGACACAATTAAACTGCAAAAATGGCCAATTTTTTGTCACATGTACAAGCGCTCAAAAGGAAAATGAAGGAGCAGTAGAGTTCTGGCTACATACCAGAGCGGCCAGTTTTAGTAGTGTAGAGGGGAGGGGGTGCGGAGGAGCCAATGCAGCATGGGATACCTGGAAGAGTGACAACACCCCTGTCACAGAAGGCTTGGTGTCTTCACATAACACTGAACTGGTTCCCAGTGAATCATTTTAATATAATATTTGATTTTCCATGTTCACTTTTGAACTGTTCCAAGTGTATTTAAACCAATTTAACAGGTGTGTATTTCTGTCCACTTAGGGCTCCTATACACATGTGCGGAGCCTGGTCCGACGCACTGGAAATCCAGCACATTGCCGAGTCTGCTGGAGCACAGAAATTGACGCACTCCAGCAGCCTTGTGTATCATGTGGGTCAGTGTCACTGCGCATCTCTGTGCTGAAAAAATGACAGCAGTGTGCTTTGAAATAAAACACATTCAATGAGCTTTAGTCCAAAGCACCCCACCACCATTTTTTTCAGCACAGGGATGCACGGTGACGTTGATTCATGGGTGCTCTTAATTAGCGTGTCTTACTAATTAAAGCACCTGGCACCATGTCCCGCTATACATTTAAAAATGCCCTTAGGGCATTCCATTCTAAGTGTTATGTGTGTCCATGCCCTAAGGATCCCTAAGTTCCTAGGAAGTTACTTGTGCAGCTTTCAGAGCAAAATAGATTTATTCCGTCTCTTGTGTTAATAAAGCCTAGGACTGAGCTGCTTTGTACATCTGAAATCTTCTTGTTAGCACTGTCCTGGCACTACCACTCTGGAAAGAGAGATGAGGGAGGTTGCTTTTGCTGTTGCTATTGGTTTGTGATGTTGTGCTTTTAAGTTTCAGATACTACAGAGGAACCTCTGGATCCAGCTGTTGGTGAGAGAGAGGGCCAGCCCTCTTCCTCTGGCTCAAATGCACAGAACCGAAGTGGAAACAATGTTGATCCAGGGAAAAACAGGCCTGTCAGGAGTAAATCCACACCAGTTAAGCAAGGTGATAAATTCCCAAGACAAAAATATTGTTTTCTTTTCTTTGGATGTCTTATTTTCTTAAAAGAAAATGGTTCTTGTATCTCAACTGTAGTTGTGACCTTTCTGTCTAGGTGCAGTATTAAACTTCTGTCCCTGAAATGTGGCAAAGTGAAATAAGCTTGTTCATGCTACATTCATGCTTGTTCATGCTACATTCATGAAAACTGTAGTTTAAACTATGGGATAAATATGCCCCAAAGATTCATGACTCTTCTTAAAGTTTTGCCTGATGGGAAGAGTTTAACTCTCAGAGAAATTTGGGGGAACAATAGCATTTCCAAAAGGATGCTAAAAAAATAGCAGATGTTTTACTCAACATTTTGAAACTGAATGGAAATTTTTTTTTAAGTATTTTTAAAGTTGCTATTTGTGAGAGACAAAATTAAGTGTATGTGGCAAGGAACATAAACACACTGGCTGAATCATGTGTATTGTGAAGTAATATTTCACAAGAGCCAGGCTCTTCACTGAGGTAAGGGTGGAATAGTATACATCTAGGGAAACTGACCATTTTATTACAGGGACAGATACCTGTGTTTATCATATGACTGTTTTGTAAACAGAAGGATTTTTTTTGTTGTGTAGTAGGTCTTCTCTTCCAGAGGATGAATGTTGGTTTTTAACTCTTACAAACAACGCATTGTTAACTGTGGAAAGAAAAGGGTTTTTAGTTCTAAATGAGCACCCACATAACTTTAGTCCCTAGCAATCTTTTTATTTCAATTGGACTATCCAGTCGCTTGCTTAAAATTGTGCGCACTGAAGCATTAAGAACAGATGTTTGAGAGCTGATGACGTAAACTGTATAGGACAAAGATGCAGTTTAATTGAAAATATTTTTGAAGTTTGTAAAATATATATATATTCTTGATCCTTTCCCTTTCTGACTTGACACTGTTACTGTAGTGTTTAACAGTTCATCTGGTTATTTGTGCTGATTTAGATCTTTCATCTGATGGACCACTTACAAATGGTGATGGCAGAGAGCCTCGGGTAGGAGTCAAGAGAAAATTAATAAGTGCATCGGAAGAAGATGAGCATCTAGAGGAGGAGGAAGCAGACAAGAAGAGAGAATTGAAAGAAAAATCTGGTTTATCTTCATCAGGAAGTGGGGAGTCGGAATCCAGTTCAAGTTCTGAAAGTAGATGCGGCTCTGACTCTGACTCTGAATCAACATCTAGGACAGATCAGGATTATATTGATGGAGACCACGACTATAGCAAAGTTGTGCAAACTAAACCCAAAAGAAAAATGAAGAGGAAAATTGCCAATGGGAAAAGAAATTGGCAGGGCAGAGGCACAGGAAGGAGAGGTAGATGGGGCAGATGGGGTAGATGGAGCAGAGGGGGAAGAGGTGGGAGAGGAGGAAGAGGCTGTGGCAGAGGAAGAGGAGGAGGCAGGGGAGGACGAAGAGGCCGAGGAGGTAGAGGAGCCTCCCGAGGAGCTGCCAGAGCCAAACGTGCACGAATTGCCGATGATGAATTTGAAAATCTGTTTGGAGGACAGTTTGGTGAAAATCTGTTTGGAGGGCGATTCAGTAGACCACCCCGAATTAAAACAAGGAACGAGGGCAGGAGAACTGTATTATATAATGACGATTCTGACAATGACAGTTTTGCGCACACCGAGGATCCTCTGAACCTTGGTACTTCCAGGTCAGGTAGGGTGCGGAAAATGACAGAAAAAGCCAGGGTCAGCCATCTTATGGGATGGAATTATTGACAGATGAAAACTTTGGAACAATTTTAAAAGAACTTCAATGGCCTTCTACTGCAGGGATTTTATCAGAACATCTACCAAGCAAGTTGTGGGGGGACTCCACTCACTTATCACAGTGGTGCTTTTCCATTATGTCAGTATGCATTTGTTTTAAGACTTCAGATCGCCACACTTCATTGGTCAAAATAAGCCTTATTCATTAGGCCTTAAATTACAGAAATTCTTCCCCACACTACAACTCCATTACATTAAAGGAGCTTCCAGCTTCTCAATAACAGCATGGCATTTCGAATTATGATTATGAAATCTCTCCCTTGTTTTGTTTTTGTATTATAGATATAGCACCTTCTTACAGAGTTTTTATATGGTTTCTGCCATAAATCCTTATACACAGTAATAATTATAACTTTTGCACAATACACCAATCCTAAAGGCAGCTATAAAATGTTTACAGTTTCTATATTGTAAGAAGGATCTGGATTATTTTAAACTTCCCAGGCCAAACTTTCATGAATTGTGCTGAACTGAAGTATGCTTATACTACAGTTATAGGGGTCCTGATCTGGTCTTTATTGGTTCTTCATTCATGTAAAAAGTGAGAAAGGGTTGGTGCCTTGTAAATATGTAGCAAACCTTTGATGTGGTGTGTCCTCATGTGTGCATTAACTTTATTAAAAAGAGAATACTTGAGAAGTATCTAGACAAAAGGTGCCAAATGCAAAAGTTACTTGCATCTATTTTCTTTTTGTCCTCTCATATTTTTATAGCATTAATAGAGATTGTGCAGCTAAGGGGTAACTTCAGCATTTGAAAGGTTTCTCCTCTTCAAAGCATTACGTGATTTTTAATAGTAGCTCAGCTACCTCTATTCACAACCTTAAAGAAAATAGATGCTATTAAGCAGTACTTATTTGAAGAAGAGGTAAGAGGGAGTATAGCAGGGATGGAATTGCTTATTAATGTTGGAAGTAACCAGTTTTTCATGATACTGAAACAATCATTTTCAAAGTTTTCACAACTCTCAGAAGCTTGGAGTAGTTGGTCATTTCATCTGTGAAGATAGCCCAACAGTCTCCCTCACAGTTTCTGCTACTGCTTATTCAATGCAAATTTGTGTTTCATTTCAGTATGATCTTTGACAGTTTTAAGACGCATAAACTGAGCTATGGTGTGTCTGCTGGTTGCTCTTATTTTGTATCGTTAGTGATAAGTTTCCATTCTTATTGTTGAAGCAGATTCTTGTATCTCAAGCTTCCAGAAAATAATTCATGTTTGCACTGTATTCTTACCTTTCATTATACTGAAAAATAATAATTTAAAGATGGAGGTTGTTGTGGTAGAAATAATGTAGTATCGCAATACAGTATGATGATATGAGGGACATTTTAAGTTTATATGATCACTTTGTAGTCTGGCTCGTTAGAGTCTGTTAGAAAGATATCTGGGGCTTTCTATCTTCATTCTAAATTATACTTAACTGGCCTCTGACTTGAGTGGCATAGAGATAGCCAATGAAGAGAGAGGAAACTGGAAAATCAAAATAAATTATGGGTTAGAATTTTAAAGTGAGGTTTCTTGACCCAATGACTCTAATTTGTTCTTCAGTGCACAGAGTCTGTCACTTGGTCAAGAATTCTGGGAGCAGGAAGATGAAGCCTATATACTCACACACCAATGAATTTTGTTTTAACCTTCTTTCTATACTGTAATATACATTATCTGGTTCATCTCTTTCCAATATTTCTAGTTGGTTGCAAAATAACTCCAAAAAAAATACTGAGGAGTCAGAACTCGGATGAGAGAGAATATTTTAAATAGTTCATGGCATTAATCTAACCTTATGGTACAGTTAAAAATTCCTCAGACTTTTTTTATTAATTAATTACTGTTCTGTATAAACCAAAACCTATTTCTGGTCATGATTTCAAATTCTCCAGTTTAACAAAGAAATGGATACCTAAGGTCTCCAAGCTCTGTAATGGGCTTTGGAGTGCAAATGTCTGTCCAGTCTGCTCATGTATTTAGAAGAAAGCTTCTTTTCTAGAGCTGTTGCTCTTCCGTCCGGCCTATGGTGAACACGAAACAAATGGATACATCAGTTTATAAAAATGATCATACACCTTTTACATTAGTTCTGTTCCACTAATATAAATGCTATGATTCCTATTCTAAAGCCTGAAATCTTGAAATGCAGAAGAAATGCTGTTTATACATTTCTGCCTGGCTGAAGCTCCACTTATTAATTTATTGGGGGAGGGGGGAGAGTTAAAATAATGGATTCCTGAGAAAACATGCTTTTCTAAGTAAATGTATTTTAGCAGCAATTAGATTAAAGTTAAATATGTTCTTAAATGTATCTTTTCTATGTAATGAAGTACTGTGAAGATACCAGTAAAGCAGCACTTTGCTGTGGTGTAAGTATTACTCTCCATTTGTGTTACATGATTAAGAGCTAGACAGCAGGGTGTGCTAGAACAACAGAACTATTGCTTATTGTACAGAATCTGCTGGGGTTTTTTGTGCATGCAAAACCGTTTTATAAGCATGAAAGAATTACTTGTTTTGAAAAATGTTATTTTACTTGGTTTTGTATCTGCATTCTTTTTCGACCTTAGACATTGATTTCTCATATAGCCTCATTCTGTGGATGCATTATAATTTTGTCATAAGTTGAACACTTTATCTCAGCTGTTGATGTTCAATTAGAAGCTGCTTGAAGCTGCATAAAACTTGATTACAGCCTGCGAGGTGCAGCAGAAGCAGTGATACAAGAAAATCCTTGCACCAGTGGTTGCAAAATAGATTCTTCAGATCCTGATCCCAAACCTCTGTGCCCAGGTTGTGCCTCATGAAGTCATCAGGGTTCCAGGTTGGCACAGAGCTCTGCCTGAATAAAGTTTACTGCAGGACAAGAATCAGAGACTTTATTCCAGCTTGTTTTAACAAATATCTTTTATTTGAGCCTGCTCTTTATCGCATGTCTCTGAAGGTATTTTGATTATATATTTAAGACTCCACAGTTAATGAGATCACTGATCAAACTATAGATCCTCTGTCGAGATGGGATAATTTTCAACTAGGAGTGCTTCAAAGCTTTCTCCATGTGTGACAATGAGTGTGTGCAGAAATTTTAAATAGTGCCTGTGGCCTGAGGGCATCCTGTTCCCAACATTAGGAAACCTGTCTGCAGTAGAACCACCAGTTTGCAATCATCTGTTAAGCCCCATCACACCCTTGCTCTTTCACAACGAGGGGTGGGGGGGACACTGAAAACTTGCACTGTCTCTTGAATTCTTAAGTTTGTTTTGGCCTCATCTCTCCTTCTGGTCCAGTGATGAATCTGTCACTAGCTCATCAGTTCAGCCCAGATTTTTCCTCTTGTGTTATGTACATCTGTTCTATCCCCTTCTGTTCTGTGTGTCTGTTTTATTCAACTTCTTTTCTTTTTCTGTCCCTTCATTGTCCCGCCCCCCGCCCCCCC